AGAAAGTTCGGGTTGTTATAGTTAGGATTAGAACCATAGTTTGAGTGAATTAGGTTTAGGTGTAGCCATTTCTAGTCTCAAAATGTGGGAGATAGATGAAAAGAAGAGATTATCATCTTGTTTTACGATAAACCTTGCTAGAAGATTATGGTACACGACTTAGGCGTATAATATTTAGGGATCGGAGGAGGAAGCTAATTATGGGAGGGTGAAAGAGAGAATCTAGGGTTCTTATTTAATTCCATACTATTTACATATTTGGTCTTTGTTGTTAATCAATTGGTTAAATAACATAATACACATAATTAAAGGTATATTAGTCATTCTTAAAAGGTAACAACTCAAAAGTTGGATTTGACACTTAAAACACCCACCACTCAAAAAAATGAAACACAAGGGTCAAATGCATTGTTGTACCAGATCAATTTAGCAAACCACACTAATCAAGTGCATAATTTTGTTTAGACAAAACTGCAAAAGATGGTTCTTGTGGTTTGCAAAAAACTATGGATAAGGTCCAAAAAGTTTTCAACTTGCATGGAAGGTCCAAAATCAAGAATTTTCCGTGAATTTGGTATTAAAATCAAAAGTTCATGTGAATTTGGTCCCTAGTGAATTTTAAAAGACTAGTTTACCCTTATCATTTATTTTTTTCATTTTTTTTATTTATTTTAGTATTTAAATAATTATAAAAAAATAAAAAATAGAATCTCACCCCACCCTCCCCTCTCCACTCTAGCCCCCATCTCTCTCTCTCTCTCTCTCTCTCTCTCTCTCTCTCTTTGTCTCTATCATCTTATTCCTCTCCTTTCACCCTCTATTTGTACATGGAATGAAACTTTTTATCAATTGATATTTTCTATAGGAAATGGATCATTTAAAGATGGCTTTAAATGGTTGTGGCAAAGATAAATATGCACTATCCAGATGTACATTTGGTGGAGAAATTAGTATGGTGGTATGTACAAGTTTATCTTCTTATAAAAGACATATCTATTTGTTTTAAACATCAAAAGACTACTTCTAGAACGAATAGCCTGATGCACAGACGCTCAAATAGTTCCATCAATCGATCATATTTCATCTTAGAAGTTAGGAGGAAGAAAAAAAATCCAAATTGTATCTCGATACCCGGATGAAAAAAACCTAGATTGTATATGTGCCAATCAACCTTCATCATCTTCACCTCTATGAAACCAACCATCGCGCGTATCAAACCAACCTGCCAACACATCTAAACAGAATCATCGCTACATCTAAATCCAAGCTATTGTCAGTGCCTCCCATATTCTCTTCTCTTTTTTTTCTTAAGATCGGCACCTCCAGTTTTAGATTTTTTCATCGACTTCGAGCTTATAGATTTAGGGTTCATCGAGTTCAAGCCTTCTTGATTTTCGGTTCATTAGGTTTAAGTAGAAGCTATCGAGTTTAACCCTTTCACATGCACCGTCCCAATTGACGGTGATTAAAAAACTGGAGTATTTCTTATTCAAATCGTGAAAAATGGTCCGATGGTTATTAAGATCTTGCAGGATTTTAGGGTAGATGATATCTTGCATGGTTTTAGGATAGATAGAAAGAGAACAGAAAGAGAAAAAGATGAATGTGAGAAGGTGGGTTGGATGGATTATGTGGGCCCTTTACATTTTATTTAATAAAACATTAAAAAAAAACTGTCAAAGAAAATGGAGATAAAATTGTCCTTTCAACTTTTTTAGGACCAAAATTACATGAAATTTCTGATTTAAACCTTTCATGCAAGTCAAAAAAAATTGTACCCTATCTATAGTTTTTACGAAACCATAAGGACCAATTTTACAGTTTTGTCTTTCTATTTATAAAATTAGTATTTAGACAAAAACTGCAAAAATAACCCCTGGGGTATGCATTTTTATAGGTTATGGTCCAAACTCTGACTTTTTTAGAGTGATGGTCCTTTTGAGCTAGTTTCGTTGTGTATTTGGTCCCTCCGAATATTGAAATGACTATAATACCCTTGGGGTATTTATTTTCTATTTTGAGATTTATTCATATTCTGGTCACATTCCAAGAAAATCAAATCTAACCTAGTTTGGAATCATGAAAATAATTTTGGGTGTTTTCCATTTCAAGATTTCCTTGGAAATTATGAAGTGGTCTCATCTTGATAATATCCTATCAACGCCTGGCAAATTCAAGATGGAAAAATCCCAATGTAATCATAGATTCAGATGACATTATTTGTATCTAGCATAGCTCACATTTTGGAGTTTCGTTTTCTTGGGATTAATCTTCATTTGCTTCTTCAAATCGTCGTCGTCGTCATCACTATTGTAACAACGTAAATTTTCAAACCAAAATTTTCAATTTAAAAACACTTTTTTCTCAATCCAAAAATCTCAAAAGTGTCACAATGTCAAATCATCAAACACATATCCAAAAACTGTATATATAACAACTCCAGGATCCTCTCAAAACATAACTCAATCTCTAATGTGTGTACAATCAAGCCGGCACCTTCCCGTGATCCTGAGAAGTACCTGAAACACATAACACATAACACGGTAAGCACGAAGCTTAGTGAGTTCCCCAAAATACCACACATATCTCATTAGCCTGTCATGGCTATACTCAGATAAGACCCTCCGGTCAATGTGTCTCAGTGGGACCCTCTGGTCCCACAACTCAGCTGGACCCTCCGGTCCCTCAACTCAGCAACTCAATATAATACACAACATATATATCACAAAGACAATAAGCAGGATATCTCAATACACAGTGTATGCATATAAGACCCTCCGTTCACACATAGATTACCACTCAAGGTAAGTATAGTGAGAAGACTCACCTCGTAAGAACTCGGATAATCTCGAACTCGAATCACCGGTCTAGCCTCCGCCTAACATAACGATAATTATCCCTAATTAATAACGACTCTTACTGAAGCTAAACTAACCCTTCTACAAACTCACAGGAGGGTAAAAGACCATTTTACCCCTCCATTGGCTTAATAGTCCACAAATTGACCAAACCCTAAAGTCAACCAAAAAGTCAACGGTAGGGAGTACGCTGCGCGTACCAGCTGGCCACCATTCTCAGAGTGAAAACCCTAAATGAAGATTTTTTAATAAAACTTTAGATTAAATACAAAAAACATATAAAATGTAGACTAAACTGCACAAATGGTCCCTGTGGTTTGCTCAAAATTGCCACTTTGGTCCAAAAAAGTTTGGACTAGCACCACAGGTCCAAAGTTTTCATTTTGTTGCGAGTTCGGTCCAAAGCACTTTAAAAATTCTTCAAATGATGGATTTGCCCCTTTCTATTTGTTTTTTCCTTTTCTTTTTTTTTCCTTTACTATTATTTTATTATTTAATTACAAAGGGTCCCACCTTCTCTCTCTCTCTCTCTCTCTCTCTCTCTATCTCTTTCTCCGATAGGCAACCAAAAGCACCTCCATTGGAGGTGGTGTTGTTGCTATTTTCTGGTAAATAGAGGAGCAACAACCCTTTGTTACTCCTTCCTTTCTCTGTCGAGCAAAGAAGCAAAACACCCCCAAATTTTGTTGTTCAGTTCAGCTCTTGTTCCTCTATTTTCCTGTTCAGCTTCTATCAAAGAAACCCCCACCGGAGGTGGAGATTTTCCAGCAGACAAGAGGGCAATAGCCCCCTCGAACCTTTTCTTCTTCTTTCGCTGACTCCATACCCACCTAAACTGTTGTTGATGTTGCCCTGCTTTCATCGTACCATCTCTCCCCCCACATTCGTATTTCTTTCCTAGACAGAAGAAGCGCGTATGCTTCTTCAGCAGCCCTTGCTGCTTTCGTTTCGTCCTCCTTCTACGAACCAGTGAGGTCACCGTAGGTGTTCGTTCCTTGCTCGACAAACCTCGACCACCGAACCAAAAATATTTGTTGCTTAGGTATTTCTTTCTTTTCTGATTTCGTTATCCTTCTCCTTTCTTCGAATTAGTCAAGAACTAGAATTAATCCTTCCTTTGCGATCGATTTCCACCACCCTCCATAGATTTCTGCTTCCGATTTCTTCTTCCCCGAATCGAACCAACACCGAAGGCGTGTGTTTGTCTTTGATTGAAACTGAATAGAAGATCTCTTCAGATCTCAGCTCCATGTCACCTTCAACGAGAGTCTCAAATGGTTTTTTTCATCTGTGTAGTGTATATTTGTTTTTATCTTTCATTGTATGTGAGATTTGATTCAGGTAAACGCGTCAGAAAGAAGAAGAAGAAAGAAGAAGAAGAAGAAGAAGAAGAAGAAGAAGAAGAAGAGAAGAAAGAAAGAAGAAGAAGCCGAGAGAAGAAGACGAAGAAGCGAGGAGAGAGAGAAGGAGAGGGGGTGAGAGAGAGAGAGAGAGAGGAGACCCTTGTAATTAAATAATAAAATAATAGTAAAGGAAAAAAAAGAAAAGGAAAAAACAAATAGAAAAGGGCAAATCCGTCATTTGAAGAATTTTTAAAGTGCTTTGGACAGAACTCGCAACAAAATGAAAACTTTGGACCTGTGGTGCTAGTCCAAACTTTTTTGGACCAAAGTGACAATTTTGAGCAAACCACAGGGACCATTTGTACGGTTTAGTCTAAAATGTATAAAAAGAGTATTTTAGTCTCTTCAAATTTGTGATTTATCAAAACCACAACCTCTTGTGCGTTATCTACCTATTCTAATAAATGAAACCTATAAACGACACGTGTCAGTTTTTTAGAATGTCTCTTTGACACGTGACATTTTTGTATGATGGTTATTATTTTTTTTTTTGTAACAAATCAAATTCAATTCAAAATTTGAAAATACAAAATCATATCCTAATAACATTATTATGTTTATTTTTCTAACAAATTAATTCATAATTATTTACAATCGACGATATCTTGGTTTTTTTGACATTTATTATTTTTTTTATCTATATAAAAATTTTAAATATACTGACTGTGGTTTCCACGGGTTATAACCTAGTTATTTGATATAGACATCTCTAGTTTTAGGTATTAACCCTTCAAATAATGAAATATCGATCATGTAATAAAAGCCAAATTAACATCTAGTGTACTTAGTGGTCATCACTCTCGTTCACTTTCCGTCTGGTGCTCTGGTATATGTAGTCTTCATCTTCAACATCCATTGCAAACACTCACATACACTTCCGGTGACTCACAACCATGGAGGCAAGAAATCTCATCCGATTTCTCTTCCTCACTGTAATCGTCGTCCTCCTCCTCCTGTTCACTTTTACCAACCTCCCATATACCCTGCCACTCACCAACAAAGCGGAGGAGTTACTCGACTGCTCCACCAACTCACGGTTGTGCACCTCCAAAAACCGTTTCTTTCAATCCAATATCAAACGACCACCCAAACCCACCACCCGCCTCCACACCGCCGACGTACCCCACCACCCACTGGACCCCCTCACCCTCAACGAACTCAACAAAGTCAGCTCCATCCTCCTCTCCCACGCGCTATTCCTAAACTCCAACACCTACGCACTTCACTCCGTCGTGCTCGAAGAACCAGACAAGTCCGTCGTGCTGGCGTGGAACCACGGGGAACCTCTCCCGCCACGTAAGGCGTCTGTCATTGCACGTGTCAACGGCCAAGCGCACGTGTTCAGCGTTGATTTGAGTTCCGGAGAGGTGAACCTTGTCGACGTCGGAGAACACTCTGGTTACCCAACGATGACTATTGAAGACATGACGTCATCAACATGGGCTCCACTTGGGAACGCTGATTTCAACCGTTCGATTTTGGCACGTGGCGTTGATCTAAAGGATCTCGCTTGTCTGCCGATTTCACTTGGGTGGTTCGGAGAAAAAGAGGAAAACCGGCGGCTGATTAAGGTGCAATGTTACTCAATGGAAGGAACAGCAAATTTCTACATGAGACCAATCGAAGGGCTGACAGTTGTTCTCGATATGGATACAAAACAAGTGGTGGAGATCATCGATAAAGGGAAGAACATCCCGATACCAAAGGCCGCAGGTACAGACTATCGTTTCTCCGCACAAAACTCCAAAATCAACCTGGTAAACCCGATATCCATCGAGCAACCAAAGGGTCCGAGTTTCACCATTGAAGATGATCATCTAGTGAAATGGGCAAACTGGGAATTTCACCTCAAACCCGACCCGAGAGCAGGGGTGGTGATATCTCGGGTCAAGGTGATAGATCCGATTACCCGAGAGATGAGGAATGTGATGTATAAAGGGTTTACTTCGGAGCTATTTGTTCCTTATATGGATCCTACCGACGCTTGGTATTTCAAGACGTACATGGACGCCGGCGAATATGGGTTCGGACTTCAGGCGATGCCGTTGGACCCACTTAATGATTGCCCACGTAACGCTTATTATATGGACGGTGTGTTCGCCGCCGGCGACGGGACGCCGTATGTCCGGACAAATATGGTTTGTGTTTTTGAGAGTTACGCCGGCGATATTGGGTGGCGACACTCTGAAAGTCCGATCACCGGACTGGAGGTAAAATAGGATTCCGATTTCTACCTAATGTTTAAATTGTAGTATGATTTGAAGGTTATTTGAGTGAAATTTTCATGGTGATGTGAATTTGCAGATACGAGAGGTGAGACCGAAGGTGACGCTAGTTGTAAGAATGGCAGCTTCCGTTGCGAATTATGATTATATTGTGGATTGGGAATTTCAGACGGATGGGTTGATCAGAGTGAAGGTCAGCTTATTTGCACACACATTATCTAAAAACTACAAAATTTTCAAGTCGAAGTTCGAATTACGTAAATGCTAAACTTGTGAAATGTCATGCATAATTAAATTAAATACATAACTTAGTAAAGTAGAAGTTAATTTATTTGTAATTGGTTTTTTATTTTGCATAAGACATTAAGTTTATAAAAAAATTTGATTTTGAAATTGTATATTTTTTCATTAAGTCATTAATTAAGTTTATAATTTTGTTGTAAATTTAACCAATTTAACGGTTTTGCATTTGCTTCGTTTGCTTAATTTATTTAATGTTTTTCATTATTTAATGTCTTTTACTTATTGACTAGACAAAAAATAATGTGACTTCTATATATGATTCTGGTGGGCAAACATCTAGGTTAAAATTTAAAACTATGGTAGAGATGTTCTTATTTTCTCTTATTTCTTCTTCTTTTCTTCTTGCATAGCATCATCATTTTGTGTGCAATGGCTTTCGAAAAAATCAAGATTTTTGACCATTGTTTTCTATCATGTTTACGTTTTTCCAAGACTGTAAACAAGAAGACAAAAAACACACGACTGTCACAAAAGCTTTAATTATTATCTAAAGTATTTCAAGTAATTTTCAATAGTTATTTGGGGTGTCCGATGATCTTGATTAGCTCTTTTAAAAAAAAGTACATAAACGAAATTTGCATGATTAGATAGTTCTTGAGTTCCAACCATTTGTTTAAGATTTTAGAATGAGTGCTTTTATCTTTATTGAAAAATATCCTTGATATTTACAAAAAAAAAAAAAAAAAAAAAGAAGAAGATTCTAATACGAATAATGGTGGTCTATTCTCTATACGTAATGATGATTTGAAGTCTCAAAACTTGTCTTTTCAGGTTGGACTTAGTGGAATCTTGATGGTGAAAGGCACTTCTTACGTCAACATGAACCAAGTAAACCAAGAGGAAAATCTCTACGGCACCCTCTTATCAGAAAATGTCATCGGAGTCATCCATGACCACTACATCACCTTCTACCTTGACATGGACATTGATGGGCCCGCAAACTCCTTTGTCAAAGTCAACATCAAACGTGAAGAGACTACGCCTGGAGAATCTCCCAGGCACAGTTACATAAAAGCAGTTAGAAATACTGCGAAAACAGAAAAAGATGCACAAGTGAAATTAAAGTTGTATGACCCGTCCGAGTACCATATTGTGAACCCGTCTAAACGGACAAGAGTTGGTAACCCGATCGGGTACAAGCTGGTCCCTGGTGGGACTGCTGCCAGCTTGCTGGATCTTGATGATCCACCACAGAAACGTGGGGCTTTTACTAATAATCAAATTTGGGTGACTCCATATAATAAGAGTGAGGAGTGGGCCGGAGGATTGTTTACGTATCAGAGTCAAGGGGAAGATACTCTTGCAGTATGGTCCGAAAGGTATGCATTATAAATAACCATTATATTAAATATAATTACATATATTATCATTAAAATAACGACATAGTTTTTTATGAATAGTTTTAAAAAGCTATAAACTTAGTCGAACTTTATATTAGTATTGTACCTTAAGTCTATTTAAAAATAAAAAGGTTAAAATGTAAATACCAATAGTTGTAGTTTTATCCATTAGTCATGTCAAAAGCGAAAATGAGTTATGAGTCAAACGAAGTTTTCAAACTATTTCAAAAAACCCCAATAATATTTTGTCTACTCAAGAAAATCCAAAAAACTTAACATTTTGTCTAAAAAACTCAACTAAGTTACACTTTTGTATAAAAAACTTAAATTGAAGTCAAATTTAGTAGAATTTTATATCACATACTTTTAGTTTTGTACATTTTACCTTCCCCACTTTAGTTTTATCCATTAGTCATGTCAAAAAGGAAAAATGACTAACGAGTCCAACGAAATTTTCAAACTGTTCAAAAAACTCCAATAATGTTTTGTCTATTCAAGAAAAATCCAACAAACTTAATCTTTTGTCTAAAAAAACTCAACTAAGTTACATTTTTGTCTAAAAAACTTAGTTTGAGGTAAATTTTAGTAGAATTTTGGAAAAAACTGAAATAAAGCCCCTACATATTGGCCTCATAATCGATTTAGTCCCTATATATTTTTTTTATTCAATTAAGTCCCAAATACCGGTAATCGTATTCAATTTAACCCTTTTGACCCGGTCAACAGATCATCCAACTTTCAAAAAATACATTTTTGGCCCATATTTCAAAATTTATTACAAATTTATAATAAATTTTGAAATCTGGGCCAAAAATGTAATTTTTGAAAGTTGGATGACCTGTTGACCGGGTCAAATGGTTAAATTGAATACGATTACCGGTATTTGGATTTAATTGAATAAAAAAAATATGTAGGGACTAAATCGATTATGAGACCAATATGTAGGGACTTTATTTCAGTTTTCCCTAGAATTTTATATCAAATACTTTTAGTTTTGTACATTTTACCTTCCCAAGTTTCCATTTAGTACTACCCTTAAAACTGTATATGTTTTCTTTTCAGGGACCGATCAATTGAAAACAAGGACATTGTAATGTGGTATACATTAGGGTTTCATCATGTTCCATGCCAAGAAGACTTCCCAATCATGCCGACTGTATCATCGAGCTTTGATTTGAAGCCTGTTAACTTTTATGAAAGCAACCCTATTCTCAACATTCCACCAAATAACGAGAATGATTTGCCTGTTTGTAGTGCTAGTGCTGAATCTTCTGCTTAATTGTTTTAATCTTAAGAAAAATCTTGGTCTCCAATCTCGATGTTGTGAATATGTACGAATTTGGGAAAGTAGAGTGTTGTAGACCTAAATGATCGATATCTAATAATAAATGGTTTAAGGACACTTTTTTCCTTTAGGTATATTTTAGGGAAATCTGGGAAAAAAAAGTCTACATTTTGATCGACAAAATTTAAAGATTTTTCTCGATATTTTCTTTTTTATATATTTTCTTTTTTATATATACTAAATTTATTTGAAGAAAACTTTTAATATATATATATATATATATATATATATATATATATAAAAATAAATATATCATCTACATCCGTTTCACTAAAAAAACTTGTATTTTTTAATTAAAAAACATATATATATATATATATATATATATATATATATATATATATTATATATATATATATATCATTGTTAAGATTTTTTGTGATTCTCTTAAATAAATATAATTACTACAATAATAAAGACATATACAAATATAATTTCTAAATAGAACTTCATGATATATGTGCGGAACTTAAATACGCACTTCTTACGACAAATCGACAAAAGTCCTATTAATTGTATTTATCACCTGTTTTTATAACTATTGTAGCTCTTATATTAGGTTATTGCCGTAAAAACTCTCATACTTACATGAAATGTGTGGTTATGTCTTAAGTTAAAATTTGTGTTCATTAATGCCTCACATTTAGGAGAGCTTTTTCATTTTAGGCTTTTTATCAGGTTGTGAAGAGAAAAAACAGTAGGTAGATGATGGTGATGATGGTGGATCGGAGATGAAGAATGCAGAAGGTGGGTCAGTGATGATGTTGATGGGGCTACTAGTGTTTTGAGGTGAGGATGGTGTTGTTGGTGGCAAAGGGTTGTGGTGATTGACAGAGTGTGGTGATGATGATGTGTACATATGAGGGCTTTTATGGAAATGATGACCGACTAAGAGAGTGCAAAACCTAAGAAAATGTTAAAATGAAAAAATATGACAAATATGAGGCATTAATGAACATAAAAACAATTTTTTGTTGATTTGTCGTAAGAAGTGCGCTTCTAGGACACATAGTGTGTATAATGGAACTCTATTTAGGAATAACAACTTCCGATAAACCTTTATTTTCTAAGGTTTAGTTCAATTATGAAAGCATCTTCGGTAAGTTGTAGTTTTATGGTAAACGTTTTACCCCCAAGACTTATAATTTAAATCATGAAGTAGCATTCGGCCTAAAAATACACTTTTTGCAACAAATCTACAAAGTCTTCTTAAGTTATATAGGATATAACTTATGATTGTAGTAATGATATTTATTAAAGAGAATCACAAAAAATTCTAAACATGATATATAAATGATCATTATCGTGTTTTTTAATAAACAAATTATCTTTATTTTGAATTTTTTAATAAATAAATATAAGTATTCTTCAAATAAATTTAATATATATAAAACAAAAAATATCCAAAAAATTCCTTAAGCTTTAATCTTATTAACAAAAAAGTCATCCATTTTTTTGAAATTTAACCCTTAGTACCGACTCTAACCGGTTACAAATGTTATTTTGCAAGTGTTTACCGATTTTAATGATTAAATTGTAAAAAAATAATAATATATAAATAAATAAATAAATAGGGGTAGCTTTTTTGTAAGTAGAGCCAAAATGTAGGGATTTTTTTAAAATTTCCCAATGTTTTAGGAATGAGAAACATAACGATTATGGAAAATATGTCCGATTTTATAATATTAAAGTTATAATTGATTCTCCTAATTTTTTCTTCTTCTTATTCTTCTTTCTTTCTCTCTCTCTCTCTCTCTCTCTCTCTCTCTCTCTATCTCTCTCCCATTCTCTCTCTCTCTCTCCGGCTCGATTCTTCCTCTCCAATGTTCTCTCTATGTCGACAATAAACCTAGCCGCCGTATAAAGAAACTCGTGAAAAACCCTTGGGAATAACAAACATCAAACCCTATGTAACACGCACGCTAGATCTTGATGAACTCATCTATGATGCATGGCGGGAGCTCTATGATACTCAATATATGAGTTTTGATGTGTTGGACCATTTCACCAGTGTTGAACTTAGCACCACAGGTGTAGCGTCCCATTTTCAAAACAAAAAATTTTCATTTTTATAAAGGCAAAACTTCCCAATTATAAATCCATTTTAAGAAAACCATTTATTCCAAATTATATTTATCGAAAATCCGAGTATTATAATAAAAGTGGAATCCTCAATGTTGTTGATGATTGTGTATAGTTACGCCTTCGCCTTCCCACGGTCACTGATAGAACCTGAAAACATGAACAGCTGGGTAAGCACAAAGCTTAGTGAGTTCCCCCAAAATACCGCACACAACAAAACATATACAAGCATGCATACTGGACCCACACTCATCGGACTGGATTGCCCTGGGTATGTTGGCCTGCCGCCTCAACCCAAATGATCTTCCAGAGCCTCCATGCGTACGACTTACAGTCAGACCGCACCTGGTATCTTGGCCTTCAGCACACATCATGACTATCTCAACCTCATCCGCCACCATATTTCGACATATAAACAATCAATGATCAAGTAGGCACATAAAACAAGCAATTACCAATCATACATCTCATTACCTCCTACTAGACCTCTCACAGCATGTCACAACTCCAAATTTTAGACCTAGCATGGTCTAAACCCTAACCAAGTACTAGTGTAAACCACAATACAATTCTTATTTCATGGTGACCTTTATAGCCTTAGGGCTTGTTTAAAGAGTTAACAAAGAAGTAGGGATTGAAACCTAAGCTAAATTAGGAAGGTATAATCTAACAATTGGCAAAAGATGAGGGTTTAAACCATAAATAACACACCATAGGTGTGTTTACGGCCAAGGGGTTCTAGAAAGGAAGAGTTCACGGCCAAAAATCCAAGGAAAAATGAGGTTCACGGCCATTAATCCACTCCAAAGGAGTGTTCACAGTCCAAATTCAAAGCATCAAGGGTGTTCACGGCTTGGGGATTTAATTCGAAAGTAGTTCACGGTCCAAAAGTCACTCCAACATGGAGTTCATGGTTTGGGACTTGGAACCAAAGGGTGTTCATGGTTACTTTATGACCGTGAACCCCTCTTATTGGGCTGTAATCCCCATTTCAAGTCCATTTGTAGACAGTAAACACTAAACCCCAATACCCCTTCAACCGTAAACACCCCCTATATATGTGATGAGAATTAATCTCAGATCGATTAGATCTTTCACAAGTAAAAGATAAAGATCAAACAAAACAAACACAATAACAGAATCAACAATATGCTTATGATTCAAATATAGTCACGCCTCAGCAGAGCTCTATGAAGAACTTCCACTGTAGAGGCGAGCTAGGGTTTACAATACTCAAAAATAATAAAAAGCAAAGCGTGTCTTTGCAAAGACTGCATGCATGCAGCTTAAATACTAAACCCTAGAGAAAACATGCACGGTTGGATAGGCCCAAACCGGCAATCAAAATTGGGCTAAGGACCGAGCCCATGACGCAACACTATAAGCCCAACAATCTCCCCCTTTCGTCGAATGAGGCGAGAGATCAATTTCTTTGAGTAGGCTTCACAGTCTTGACAACCTTGAACAGCCGAGGGATGACTGCAAGAAGTGTTTGCCGAAACTGAATGTACCATCGTAGCATATCAGTAAACAGCTTCTTATCGGCTGTAGAATTCTGATTGCACTTGTGGATAATCTCCAAGATATGTTCCAAGCAAGCAGTTGAGAATAAGTGCTTATCACACAGAGCGAAGATACATTTTTGCTTTTCGTCTCTGACAAACATTACTGTGTGAGACCGTGGGTCGATTCTACCCTTGACCATAACATTCACATCCCCCATTCTGCCGGAAGGTTTGATCGTTGGACGCTTGTGAATGGCAACGGCGATCTCTTGGTCCATTTTCGCCACTTCGTGAATGTAGCATACAAGCATTCGCTTGATATGGTCAATGATCGGCTGGTACTCCTGTGGATTTGACATCAGGATGTTGTTGAGAAGTATCCAGTCGTGGGGATTGAGGTTCGGTAGATCAGCAAGGGTGAAGTTATGAACCGAGCCTTCAGAGCCTCGAGTCACTTTGAATTTCACATTGACAAACTTCCCTGCTGAGTAAGGCTTCAGAACCTTGACAGTAGTAATCTTCTGTAAGCTCCATGTCAGGTGGTGTGGCTGAGCAAACTCCAGATAGAACTCCAAAAGATCCCGATCAACCTTCGGGTCTGGAGAGGAAATAGAAACAGTTGAGTTAAAGCAGTGAAAGATGAATGCCTTTCGCGTGATCGGCATGTCAAACTGTGCATCCTTGGAGTTTTCAAGCCCAAACGACATCACAGGCTCAAGCCACAGTGTACAAGGTTCATCGATAGCACACTTTTGAAGCGAATCAAGAGTCCACACAGGAAAAATGGACTTCTTCTTTTCCAGGAGCTCTTTTTCTTTAAGCTCTTTTTCAAGCTCTATCGATTCCTTCATCAGTTTTTCCTTCAAGTTCCTTATCAGATGCCTTTGTTTTCTGAAAAGGATTAGAGGGATCTGGTTTAAAAATATCTTCAATATCATCACCAGTATCATCATCTTCACAAATTTTCTTCTTCTTCTTCTTGCATCTATCACTGACCGAAGCTTCATTAACCTTCTTCTTCTCTCCCCCTTGTTTCGGTTGGACACCAGGCACCAGAACACCCTCAATACGACTAAGAATGGCCAGTGCAGGTCGAAGTTTATCAGCCAAATGTCTGCGAGTGGTGATGGTGATGATAGGATCATGGGCTTCAAGGAGGTGAAGTAAGATGGAGTGAACATCAGCAGCTGAGCCTCGGATAACTTCCCTCTCAGACTTCAAGTCATTGAGTTCAGCTGTTGCAGTGCGAAGTTTGAGATTCTGGATTTTCAGTTGAGAGGTTCGCTTGTCGAGTTCATCCATGACTCGATTTTCAACTGCCAATTCTGCCTCCAGTTGAGTTAAGCGATCATTGACTTTATCATGCAGATTGACATTTGCAGCTTCAATGGCTTTTCGGGCAACTTCAAGATTAGCTCGTTCGGTTGCTAGAGAACGCTGAAGATTTGCAACCGAATCATTTACTGTCTTAGCATTCTTT